AAATTTTGCCCATTCATTCACATACTACTGATTATGAAATATATATATATATATATATATCACACAAGTCTGATGCCAGACTGTGTGCCAAACAAATTGTGGTACAATAATCTTTATGACAAAGAAAAATATTCCATGATTTGCACGTGAGCGGAATACTGCCAGATTACCCAGGCTAAAACAGGTGAATTTTCTTGAGGAACCCACAACCAGAGCCTTTGGCTGGCCCAAGCTTGACCCACAAGGAGGTGGGGCGGTGTGCGACAAAAGGTAAACCATTGAGGGCTGGTGTCCAGTTCATCGGGTCATTCACCCTTTGGACGGGGTTGAACTTCCAAGGTGCCCAGTACACTTTGATGCCCAATCGAACCGGTGACCACCATCGGGAAAGTGTGTGGTTCTTATGCCTCTTCTTGGTTGGTTTGGAATCAGGGTTTTTGGCCAACTCCCCCAGGTGACCTAGTATTGGCCCACCAGCCCGGTTGTAACTCCGGAAATCGGCTTTTCGTCCTTTCATTTTGGTGGAAAAACACCGCCACGAGAAGGCAATGAGTAGGGCTTCCTCATTTTAGGCTATTTGAAACGCATGGGAGCACTTCGCGAGGTGCAAGGGAGGGTAACCAGCCGCAACCCTAGACACTCACGCCCGACAATACTGAGGCTTTTGGAGTCTATTGTTCGGTTTTTCTCTTTCTCTCTCTCTCTCTAGAAAAGCTTTAATCAACTATCAATTTTTTCAAACACCACCGAGCTCTAATAAGTTTCAATCTTTTGAAAGCCATTTGGTCATCCTAGACACAATCGCCTATAATTTCTGGTGCTGTCGGCAAACCGTAATCACAGGATTTACAATATCTTTCCGGGTAATGTGATAGGATTTGCAAGCTTTCAGTATATTATTCACAACTTTTAGCGTTTTCTCACGGTGCATGATGGAGCCACTTTTCGTTTGAGCATTTACAAATATCCTGTTTTGAAATTCGTCATGAAAAGTTCAGAGACAGTGGAGTTTTGGGTAGACACGTGGAATGACCTAAAACTGGAGTTATGTGAATCGAAAATGCTAAAAAGTATAACCAAATATCATCATATCACGTGTTCAACAGTTTGTTTGTATAGGCATTACTATCACACTTGAGTGCTGCCATTTCATTTACTGTCTTTCGGATGCCCATTCCGACGAGCACAGAAGTTGTTGTAGCGTTGGCACCATACTTGTCTACAAGCCGGTGGTAAATATAGATACAGGATGCGGGTGAATTGCGCACAAGATCCAAGTAAGTGCACCTATGCTACTATTTACTTTCTCTCACCGCATCACTCCGTGTCTTCAACTATCAATAAGACTGATGTCGAAGACACCAGGTGTCTTTCGTGAATGGGCCAACCCTCAGCAGTAAATTAAGGCATTGTGGCCTTGTAAAAGCGGACTTTCAAGGGGAGACTGAAATTGCATCGGCGCCACAAGTGACGTCGGTTAACGAAAGCCACCCGGGCCTCGCGCGCTGATACGCGCTGATACTTCTTATATCAGTCCTCTTATGCTGGAACAACTCCCGAGATAAGTAATCGACGATTTCCAACTGGTCTCTCATGAGTGTGAGGGAAGGTGTAGCCTCTTGTCAGTCTTGTGGTAAGACCTTACATTCCGATTGAGAGAAAGTCATACCAAACTGCGTGACGGATAATGCCAACCTACACAGGACGTTTTGAGCGTCTTTGGAGGAGTCGCAGAGTACAATAGTGCCGTCATCATATTCCAATTCACGGACTCGATCACCTGGGAGAAGCTCCACACCGGAAGCTCTGCAATTTTCTAGAGCACTGCTTAGAATTTTGTTCATGGTGAAAGTAAAGAGGAATAGTGAAGCCGGGCACCCTTTTCATAGTCCGCTTGTGATGGTAAATGAAGAGGAAATTCGATCATAGACATTGACTCGGGCTGATGTGTTTTAGTGGACTGTTTTGAGAAGGTTAACGTACACATCGTACACCTAACAAATTAGTCCAGTCACAACTCCGTCAAACGCAGCACGTATGTCCAAAAACACAATGATGATTGGTCTACTGAATGTTCGACATTGCTGGAGAATCTGATGTAGCGTAAATATGTGGTCAATGCAGCTCGGCCGGAGCGGAATCCAGTTTTTTCTTTGCGGATATGACGCTCTCTCATGCACCTGAGCCTGCGAAGAATCAACGATGCTATCACCTTGAATGCAGCGGAGATGATGGAGGTGCTCCGTCCAGTGTCCAAGCTGACGTCGTAGATTGTGGATGCACTCGCCATTGGTTTTGCATACGGCTTCAATGATGCGTGGTATTTTGTTACTGGTAGCTCGAGTTAGTCGAAAAAGTTTTTGAGCATTACGTGAATCGACTGCTAGTTCCACCTGGGAAGCGCGTTGTACCCACCAGGTCTCTCGGTCCTCTTTTAGGAACCGTTTCATTTCATCACTGAGAATTCTGCTAACTGTGTTGTATTCATTACCTGCTTGCACGTTCAGGTAGCTGGCTGGTATCACAATGATAGTGTTTCATCGACTGGACGAGACTGCACCTTGGCGTAGTATGATGGTTCGTGCACCTCTGTGACCCAACGAGCTACACAAGATGGCTTTTGTCGAGCCAAAAATCTAATCATGCCTGGAAGGTCAATGGGTAGAGGTCAGACAAAGCCCAGCTTCCTGGTTCTCCAGGTTGGAGGTTCGACTTGAGTTGGCGTCCCAGTCGGTAAAACGTGTTGGAGGAGTAATTGATCCAAGTAAATGGGTCTCCACTTCGCATCACCCGCTACCTTGCGGCTAAGTTCTTGTTAGAACTAAAGGCTTTGATTGAGAACCCTAATCGTTCTTCTGCTTAGTGGATGAACACCCTGGCAGTACTCGTCCATAGAGCCCCAATGATCACACAAACTAAAAATAATTTCATACTGCATTGGTCGTCGCGCAGGATAATCAGGACCGCGCTGCCCATTCCACCCCAACTTTTGTTTAACTCTGCCTTCCGTACCCAACCCTCTCTTTCTTTACCCCGACCAGTAACATCCCATCAGACAACTTGGTCGTCACTCGCCAAACATCGTTGCCAAATAGCACCGTAAATAGTTGTCACGTAAATAAAGTGCAAATTCTGAAACCTCGTCAACCTCTCAGTGTAGAGGACTTCAACGTGAGGACTCCGATGCAGGTGAATTAACCAGCGTGTCTTGCGCGTACAATGACGTCTCTAGAAATCGATGTCTGTTGCGTATCGGAGACACGAATTCAGGTCCTAGTATTATAATACTAGTTTGCCTGTCCTCGAGGTATTTTCTTCGTACACCAGGAGACGATAAAGCCCACTCACTTGGTCAGCGTGGCGTAGAGATCGATGAAATCGAAGCTTCACTGATGGGTTGGATGCTCGTCAATAGTCGTTGGTGCGCAACGAGTCTCCAGGGTTCAGTTAGTGTTCTGAAGATTAGCAACACCAAAAGGTGTTTGTTCATCATATCCGTTTATGCACTAACCAACTGCAGTCCCGCTTCACAAAAGGATGAATTTTACGACAAACTCGTCGAACCGATTCGGTTGAGCTGGACCATGCACTAGTTCTGTTACGTTACACTCTTCGACTCATCGGTCATCGGCAGAAATCTCCTCATTTAGCTCATCATCATCATCATCTGCGCGATCCATCTGTCTGTGCATGTTATGAGGACAGCAGTTAAGAGAAAGGCGACATGGTGGAGTAGATCAGCAATGGAATCAGATAAGATTTGCGATACACTCATAAGCAAACTCCGCTTGTTAGACCGAGCCCGAAGTTCACCGAAGACATTGATTCTCTCAGGAGTCAGTAATACTTATGGATCGAAAGCGAAAGATCCCAATCTGCCAGGATCAGCATAGGGACCGGTGTCGCCTGCAACGTCAACTCGGGAAAAGCCTTAAAGAAGATCACGAAAACTAGTGGACCAAAATAGCTAGGGAAATGAAGGCAGCTTCTGCATCAGGGAACAATGCGAGACTGTTTCACCTGATACTCAGCACCGGAAGTCGTCGCTTACCGATGAGTGAGGCCATTTGTGATTAAAATGGACAGAGTATCCACAATAAAGGACAACGAATTGATCGCTGGGCATAGTATTTTCGGCCTAGTGCTAACGCAATTCTTCCGGCAATTGCAGCGGAAAATCAATGGATGGTAACATGTGAGTCTTCAACAGAATTAGAAGTAAGAAGCTGTAATCAATCGCTGAAGAAAGGGAAGGCAGCGGCCGCGAAAATACCACGTTGGAAACACCGGTTCTCATCTGATCCCCGAAGTTAAGCAACGTCGGGCCCGGTTAGTACTTGCACGGGTGACCGGCTGGGAATACCGGGTGTTGCGACTGTTCCCTTTGGGGCGGTGGTGGCCAAGTGATTAAGTCACCAACTAGTGACCTGGGTATCCCGGGTTCAAACCGCTCCACCGCTGCCCGTCTTCCCTATATCTGTATTTTCCCCAGGCAGCCTTTGCGTGGCCGCAGCCCCCGTCCTGAAAGTTGATAGTACATTTGTGGATTCAATAAGTAGAAAAAGGAAGTAAAAAGAAATCGTTTTATCTAATGGGCTTCTCACTATTCTTTTCAAATTGAGTGTTGGCTATCTCGTCGACTTGATTACCAGCTTACTCCACAGAATATGCTCGGAGGAGCGTGTCCTGGGGTAGATCGTTCTGATCTTCAAGAGGGGATCACACAACGACTGCGCTAACCAGCACCATATCAGTTTAGTTTCGAACATCATATATATGATGTTTAAGACTTTAAATAATAGTTAGTAACCCGAGAACGGGGAAGTTCAACCGTGGTGCAAGCTAATGTATGTTATTTGTTGGTGAGGTATTGTGAAAGTCTGTGAAGCCAGCACGGTGATCGAAGAATGCATAGTTTGTGAGAACCAGACTCGGAAATCTGTGGAATGTGTGGTCACTGGTTGTTTGGGCATGTTACTTCTCGGTTGCTCTTATCGGTCCTCACCCGAGTCCTTTAGCTAGAAGCCAAACCCGCAAGACAGCAGGACGGAGCTCAGAGTCCGCAATCCATTCGGCTCCAGTGTCCAGTTCATCGGATCAAATGCCCTTCGAACGGGTTCCAACGTCGGAGGTTCCCGATACACTTCGATACCCAATGGAATCGGCGACTACTACCACGAGCAGAAAGTTGTGCGTGGTTTGTACGTCTTTTCTTGGTTGGTTTGGAATCAGGGTTTTTAGGTAACTCCCCTAGGTGACTTAATAATCGTTCGCCGACCCGGGTATAGTGCCAGATGTTGGCTTCTCGTCCCCTCACTTTGGTGGGGAAAA